AAAAAAAAAAGGGGGGGGGGAAAGCTTTTGCACAGCTAAGGATACAATTACAAAGGAAATACACAACATGGCTTTTAAAAAAGCTGGCTGGACACACAGGTAGCCCTCCTGACCTCAGATTCCAGAGCACTAAGTATTTAGTGTCCCCACCCGGTCTCTCTTCATGTAAACCTGACAGTTGCCCAACAGGAAGCCCTGACAGAAGCCTGAAGGAAGAGGGGCCAAGTGCTTCTCCTCCTCCTCTCAGGTAGCAGGAGTGGGGATTGAAATTGCTGAATTGGGCTGGGCACAGTGGCTCATGCCTGTAATCCTAGCACTCTAGGAGGCTGAGGTGGGTAGATGGCCTGAGCTTGCAGGTTTGAGACCAGCCTAAGCAAGAGAGAGACCTCATCTCTTAAAATAGCAGGGTATTGGGCAGCGCCTGTGGCTCAGAGGAATAGGGTACTGGCCCCATATGCCGGAGGTGGTGGGTTCAAACCCAGCCCCGGCCAAAAACTGGGGGAAAAAAAAAAAAAGGGCAGGTGTTGTGGCAGGTGCCTGTATTCCCAACTACTTGAGAGGCTGAGGCAGGAAAATCACTTGTGCCCAAGAGTTTGAAGTTGCTGTGAGCTACGACACCACAGTGCTCTACTGAGGGTAACAAAGTGAAACTCTGTCTCAGAAAAAAAAAGAATGCCAAGATGGTGGAGAGTGCTGTGGAGAAAAGTCAGGCAGTTGAGGAAGCTGGAGTGGAATGGGGTGAGGTGGACAACTGTAAGTTTTCTCTTGGGTCTTTGCACTAATTGTTCCATTCAGGCTTTTTATTTCTGGTGTTTTTTTGTACCCAGTACAGGTTCTTGTAGAGAAGGGCATTTGGAGACTTATTTTGGAATTGAACCTGCTTTACACAGTAGAAGCAGGTGGAGGGAGCTGCTATTAGCCCACCGAAATGCCTAAGACTTGCCCGTTTGAGAACTGGGACAGCCTTGATAGTGCCTGGGATTGCTCTGGTGGGAACCTGTTCTGGTTTTTCTTAGACATTATTTGTCAAATCTAGAGCTCCCCCTGCTGTTAGAAGATGGGATTGGCATGCAGTGGAATTTTTAAGACTAGTTTTCTTTTTTATCTTAAGATTAAAAAAAAATTAAAAATAAGATTACTGCTGGCACATTTGAAACTTTCTTCTGGGACTTCTGTTGCTGAGGCCCAGCCCCCACTGAAGGGAAGGATGGGGAGGAAGCACAAAGGCCCAGGCAGGATAGGGTCATATCTGTGCTCTTGCTACTTTTAGCAGCTCCTTACCCCTGTACTCCTACCACAGCCAGAGGCCTAGCAAAAGTTATCTCCCAGCACAGTTTCACAGCTGTTCTGAAATTCTAGGGCAACAGAAGTGAAACTGACCACAGTCTTGTAAATTTCTCTCCTATTGATGTTGTTCCCTACTTGAAGAGAGTTAGCTCTTTCCTTCATCCTTAAATTATTTGTCCTTACAGCCAAGTTTTTGACAAAAGGAGACAGATCTTTGTGCATGATGCATTGTTTCTGGAGGGCCTTGGTTTGGTCTCCCCACATGAGCATTGCTTACAGGAGTTGAGAGCTGCGGTCTATGTGGTGGTGTCCCCAGAATAGAGCTGAGCCCTTCTCATCAGCTGTCCGTGGTGTGTGTTCCTTCACCAGGGTCAGCCATGTGGCTGCTGTGAAGTTCTTTTAGTCTTTCAAGATGAAATTCAAGTTAGTCTTTGCAACCCTTATGAAAAGTAAGGAAGGAAATGGCACTTGACTGGACATAGGAGTTTATCTTTCTGGTTTAACTGTCCCACTGAAACAGTTTGGCCACTTTATGATTCCTAATGAAGTTGAAGAAGCCTGGCTAACCTGGCATGCAGCCCTGCCACTCCTAGTGCCTAGGTCTCCTGAGGGTAACACGAGGCCCAACAGACATTCTTAGAGGCTTGACTGATAAGGGCCGTTTGTTGAGCAGTCCAGTAATGGTTCAGAGTATTTTTTAAAGTTATATTTCATGGGTGTGTTTTATAGAGCTCAAGCTTAGACAGTGCCTATTCCCATTGGGAATCATAAAGTAACCAAAACTGTTTTGAAGGGGTAGCTGAACTATAAAGATATATGCTTACTCAGGTGTCATCGCTGTCTCCACTTCTACTGATATTAATAGCACTGCTAAAATTAACTTGAACGTAAGATGCCTTCTTTACTGAAAATTGTAGCAATACACACAATGCTTCACCATAAGGTAATTCTTTTATGGTTCTTCTCTCAACAGCTTTGAAAAGCCCAGCTGCATTTCATGAGCAGAGAAGGAGCTTGGAGCGGGCCAGGGTAAGGCACTTTTCTTCCCCTAAGGTCTCCCAAAGAGCATTTTCAGAGCTCATTGCATTGCTAGTTATATTTCCTTCCAGTCCAGCAGGACTCTAGGGTCAGCCCTGGCCTCACAGTTTTAAACAGAAACTTCATCCCTGCTCTCAGCCACCTCCCAGGGCAGTGATATGGAACATGACTGGAATGAAGTTTCTCCTTTAGTGTACGTAAGAATATGGAATGATCATCTGATCCTTCTTCCCTGAACCTTGCTTTGGAGACCACAAGTGTTTCCCCATCTTCGCTTATATTCCCCTCTTAGAGATGTTAGGACACGAACATTAGCCATGGGAAGGCTTCCTGATCCAGGGCTATATTGCCTATACTTCTGCAGGACCAGAAAACCTCCCCAGTCTTTGTCTATCCAGAGCACTCAGTGTCCACTTGACCCTGTAGAAAGCAGAAGCTCGCCCACACGCCAAGCCCAGGTTTGCTACTGTAGCACCTTTATGGTGTCTCCGTCCCACTCTCAGTTTCAGTTCCCCAGGGGCCTTTGGGGGAATATTCTGCTGCTTATTGTGGTCAGAGTTGGGGAAGTTGCCAAAAGTTGCTTCCCTCTCTAGCCCCCTTTACTTTTTTCTTTTACATTAATACAAGGAAAGAGAACCCCCTGAAATAAAGGGTGGACGGCCATGGCTCCTGGAAGACGCACAGCTCTTTTAGAGACTGGCAAATCCTTAACCTCTAAGACTTTCCTTACTTTTTTCTGTTTTTTTCCCCCTAGAAAATCATGATTAATTCTTAGAGTGAGTGGGAAGAATGAGATCACAGGCATAGGGAGCCAAAGCAGTAAGGTGTGGCCCACAGGGGGAGGAGTGGCATTGCCTGTGCCCCCACCCAGCACCATCTCCTTGATGCCTTCTCACACAGGCAAGGAGCAAATCAGAACTAATTAGCACAGTTACTGTTTCATTGAGCACATTAGCTCTTATGAATTAGGTATCGTTATACTCATTTTGTAGATGCGGCTGAGGGGCATCTTGTCCAACAAAGTGGCAAAGCTGGGACTCAAATCCTGGTTTGTAGATTCTAGGTTGTTTTTTTTTTTTTTTTTTTTTTTTTTAAGACAGAGTCTCACTATGTCGCCCTGGGTAGACTGCTATGGCATCACAGCTCACAGCAACCTCAAATTCTTGGGCTTAAGCGATTCTCTTGCCTCAGCCTCTGGAGTAGCTGGGACTACAGGCGCCTGCTATGGTGCCTGGCTATTTTTTGGTTACAGTTGTCATTGTTGTTTAGCTGGCCTGAGCTGGGTTTGAACCCGCCAGCCTTGGTGTATGTGGCTCACACCGTAACCGCTGTGCTACAGGTGCTGAGCCAGTTTTTCTTTCTTTTCATTTTTCTTTTTTTTTCCGAGACAGAATCTCACTTTGTCACCCTCAGTAGAGTGCTATGGCATCACAGCTCACAGTAACCTCCTCTCTTGCCTCAGCTTCCCAAGTAGCTGGGACTACAGGCACCCACCACAATGCCTAGTCATTTTTTGGTTACAGTTGTCATTGTTGTTTGGCAGACCCAGGCTGGATTCAAACCTGCCAGCTCCAGTGTATGTGGCAAGTGCCCTTAGCCGCTGAGCTACAGGCGCTGAGCCTGGTTTTTCTTTTTTAAGCAAAATAATTTTATTTCTTAATACATGGTAACCATATACATCCAATATGTATTTATCTTGCACATCTGTTCACAGATGACTTGCAGATCCCAGTAACTACTTTCATTTTTAAGCATGTACTAAAAAAATTATTTTAGTTGATATATGAAAAATGAATATACTGGATTGGTTGTAGCAGAATTTACTTTAGTTAATTCTAAAAATTTAAAGGTTTGAAAAGCTGCTGCTTTGCATTTCGTACTTCCAGGTGAATAGGATATAATACTATCAGCTTTTATTCCTGAGAAATCTAATTTGTTCTTCCGGCAATGGAGCCAGTCCCCCAAGTCTGCTGGTGTTATCCAGGTGCCTCCATGTGGTGGTGGAAGAGCAGCCTCAGGGCCATACTTGGAGGGACTGTCAGACACTGTGTTCCTACAGCTGATTCCTAGACACTAATGCTGTCCCATTCATGAATGCTTTTAATGATAATCTGTTGCAAAGTCCTTATCTTTTTTTTTTTTTTGGAGACAGAGTCTTACTTTGTCACCCTCAGTAGAGTGCTATGGTGTCATAACTCAGAGCAACCCCAGAGTCTTGGGCTTAAGTGATCTTCTTGCCTCAGTCTCCTGAGTAGCTGGGACTACACGTGCCTGCCACAATGCCTGGCTGGGGTTTTTTTTGTTTGTTTGTTTTGTTTTGTTTTGTTTTTTGAGACAGAGCCTCAAGCTATCACCCTGGGTAGAGTGCTGTGGCATCACAGCTCACAGCAACCTCCAACTCCTGGGCTAAATCGAGTCTCCTGCCTCTGCCTCCCAAGTTGCTGGGACCACAGGCGCCCACCACAATGCCCGGCTGTGTTTTGGTTGTAGCCATCAGTGTTGTTTGGTGGGCCTGGGCTGGATTCGAACCCACCACCTTGGGTGTATGTGGCTGGCGCCTTAGCCACTTGAGCCACAGGTGCTGAGCCTTTTTTTTTTTTTAAAGAGATGAGTTCTTGATCTTGGTCAGAGTGGTCTCCAACTCTTAAGCTCAAGCAATCCATCTGCCTTGGCCTTGGATTACAGGTGTGAGCCACTGTACCCAGCCTATTTTATTTTATTTTTTTTTGAGACGTCTTGTTTTGTCATCCTGGGTAGAATACAGTGGTGTCATCACTGTAGCCCAAGGCAACCTCACACCCCTGGGCTCAGGTGATCCTCCTGCCTCCGTCTTCTGAGTAGCTGGGACTATAGGCACTGGCAATGCTTGGCTAATTTCTCTATTTTTATTTTATATATTTTTATGAGGTAGAGTCTCACTTTGTCACCCTCAGTAGAGTGCTCTGGTGTAATAGCTCACAGCAACTTCAAACTCTTAGGCTCAAGTGGTTCTCTTGCCTCAGCCTCCTGAGTAGCTCGGACTACAGGCATCCACCATAACGCCTGGCTATTTTTAGAGGCAGGGTCTTGCTCTTGTTCAGGCTAGTCTTGAACTCTGTGAGCTCAAGCAATCCATCTGCCTCGGCCTCCCAGAGTATAGTTTTTCTGTTTTTAATAGAGATAGGTTCTCACTCTTGCTCAGGTTGGCCTCAAACTCCTGAGCTCAGGCCATTCTCCTGCCTTAGCCTCCAAGAGTGCTGGGATTACAGGTGTGAGCCACTGTGCCCAGCCTATTCCAGATATTTTCTTAATCAGTACGGTATTGTGCCTCAGCCTTGGCCACTGTACAGAACTTCAAGTGGTTCAGAAAACATGGCTCCCTGTGATGCCTGTGAAGACCCGCAGTGCCTGACACCTGCTCTACCATCCTCTGCCATAACCGAGGCAATACCTCTTCCTCCTCCACATGGGGTAGCAGACCCATAGCCCAGAACTACTTTAAACCTTCTCTTGGAGAGCTCAGCCCTCCTCCCCCACCCCTGTGCTGGTACAGAGCTGCCCAGCCAGAGCACTGAGGCAGCAGATGGCCAGGGCAAGGACCGGTATTGGCCTTTACTAGATACAATGTGTTTACAAACTCATTTCTTCCTGTGCTTTGTCTTACCCTGTACTGTCCTATTCTTTGCTCCTGTTACCTCACTAATGTTCAGATGTTCTCAGCATTTGAAAAATACCTGTGTAAAGGTTAAGAGTACAGGCTCTGGAATCAGATCTGGGGTCACATATACATTATAATTAGTCTTGGGGAGTAGAGCGACTTGTGACTATTGAAGGAATGATTTAATTTGCCCACAGTTAAATAAATGCAGAAATGAGGACATTGGACTTTGAGGAACTACAGCTTGGACCCCATGTATCAAAATTAGTATTCCATTTGGCATCCTCTCAAAATGAATGGAAAATGTTCATGAGATCCTGCAGGGCTAAATTTTTTGAAATAGGATATAAAATTGTATGCAGTATGATTGCAACTCTGCAAAATTAAACATCCTCTGCATGGAAGAATGACTAGAAACAAATATCTCCAAAATAGTGGATAATTAAAAAATTGCTTTATTGGTTTGTTTCCTAATTTTCCAGGGTTTTTGGGGTTTTTTTGAGACAGAGTCTCACTTGGTCACCTCTTGGTAGAGTGCTGTGGCATTTTAACTCACAGCAGCCTTAAACTCTTGGGTTCAAGTGATTCTCTTGCTTCAGCCTCTCAGGTAGGTGAGACTAAAGGCACGCACCACAAGGCCCAGCTATTTTTTGGAGACAGGGTCTTGTTCTTCTTGCTCAGGCTATTCTGGTCTCAAATTCCTGAGCTCACCCACCTGAGCCTCCCAGAGTGCTAGGATTAGCCACTGTGTCTGGCATTACTTTTTAAAACAAGCAAACAAACAAACAAACAGAGTCTCTGTGTGTTGGCCAGCTTATAGTGCAGTGGTATGATCACAGCTCACTGTAACCTGAAACTTCTTGGCTAAGATGCTCTTTAACCTCCCGGCTGAGCCTCCTGAGTAGCTGATAGTACAAGCATGCATAACCTTGCCCAGCTGATGTTTTAATTTTGTTTTAAGAGATGGTGGTCTCACTATGTTGTCTAGACTGTTCTTGAAGCCCTGACCTCAAACCATCCTCCCATCTTACCTCCCAAAGTGCTGGGATTATAGATGTGAGCCACTGTACCCATCCCATATATTGCTTTTATGATAGTAAAAGAAATAGTTGTTTTTTTTTTTTTTAAATAGAGACAGAGTCTCACTTTATACCCTCGGTAGAATGCTGTGGCATCACAGCTCACAGCAACCTCCAACTCCTGGGCTTAAGTGAGTCTCTTGCCTCAGCCTCCTGAGTAGCTGGGACTACAGACGCCCACCACAATGCCTGGCTATTTTTTGTTGCAGTTTGGCTGGGGCTGGGTTCGAACCTGCCACCCTTGGTATATGGGGCTGGTGCCCTACCCACTGAACCACCCGTGCTGCCCAATGTAGTAGTTTTTTTTTTTTTTTTTT